TTACAGGCACGCGCCACCATGCCCAGCTAATTTTTTGTAGTTTTAGTAGAGACGGGGTTTCACCGTGTTGACCAGGATGGTCTCGATCTCTTGACCTCGTGATCCACCCGTCTCGGCCTCCCAAAGTGCTAGGATTACAGGCTTGAGCCACCGCACCCGGCCAATTTTTTTATTTTTATAGTAGAGATGAGGTTTCACCATGCTGGCCAGCCTGGTCTCGAACTCCCAACCTCAGGCGATCCGCTTGCTTCTGCCTTCCAAAGTGCTGGGATTACAGGCATGAGCCACTGTGCCTGGTCCTGAAATGTTTTTTGAAAAATAACCTTATTGGTGAGGCTGACTGGAGAATATGCCATAGATCTGTTCCCAAATGAGCTTGCTAACATCTCCCCCCCTCCCCAATTAAACTTAAAAGGCTAATGGACATCTGGAACCTCCCCCAAATCCCCCAACCTCACCCACCCCACTGCAGGTTGCTTAGTACTGGACCTACAGACAAATGCTGGTGTCCTGCACACTGTGCTTAATCCTGCTGGTGCTTTAGCCCTCTTGGAGAGCTCAGGAGGGGCTCGGCTGCAGGTGACTAGTTACTTCTAGGTGTCAGAGGGTTGAGGAATGAGGTCTGGAACATTATAGCTGTAGACTTTACTTTCTCAGGAAAATTTGAGGCTGCCAAATAGTGTCCCTCCACCATTGGTATGCTTGTATGGTACTTTTCCTCATTCTTTCTAGAAGATTGAACCATGAGCTTAAATTGCATATTTTAGACCAAAGAGAATTATAGATCTCTGTTCTTAAAAGCTCATAAAATAGGCTGGGGGTGGTGGCTCACGCCTGTAATCCCAGCACTTTGGGAGGCCTAGGTGGGTGGATCATGAGGTCAGGACTTCGAGACCAACCTGGCCAACATGGTAAACCCTGTTCTCTACTAAAAATACAAAAATTAGCTGGGCATCGTGGCATACGCCTGTAGTCCCAGCTACTCAGGAGGCTGAGGCAGGAGAATTGCTTGAACCCGGGAGGCAGAGGTTGCAGTGAGCTGAGATCATGTCACTGCACTCCAGCCTGGGCAACAGAGTGAGACTCCATCTCAAAACAGACAAAAAAATCAAAACTCGGCCGGGCGCGGTGGCTCAAGCCTGTAATCCCAGCACTTTGGGAGGCCGAGGCGGGTGGATCACGAGGTCAAGAGATCGAGACCATCCTGGTCAACATGGTGAAACCCC